GTGTTGGGCAGTAAAGAGTCAGGGGGCGTTACTTGAAAGGTGCAGGTACTAAAGGCTACTAAACCTGCAGCGGCGAAAGTTTAAAACCTTTTTATCTAAAAAAAATCAAATTTTATGTTTCACATTGAGTATGAAGACTATAACTAAAAATAAAATTAATCATTAATCTCATATTTATTTGGGACATCTTATTAGCCGTGATAGCTCAGTGTCCGGGCGCTGGCCTTTAATTCAATATACTCGAGCGACCTAAATTCATATCCTCGGTGCCGGCACCAACGAAATTGTTAATTTTAATTGCTGACAGGAGTTCGTTGGTGAATGAACACGTCGTGAGGAAACCTACATATTTTCGAATAATAAAAAAATATTTCGAAGATATGTGAAGTCCGCCCATCCGCAGGTGGGACGCGCGGTGGCCTGTACGGAGGAGGCCTTTGCCCTGCAGTGGGACATGTAAAGGCTGTTGTTTACTTTACTTAGGGCCGGATTTAGAGGTCCAGAGGCCCCAAAATATTTTCCTAATAAAATGAACAATTTTTTCAGTCGATTTTGTCAATAAATAATTGATTGTGAAACCATAGTGTATAGAATAGAAGGTTAAGATAAAATGCGAAAAAAAAAATATGAAAGGAAAAGTTGTTTACTAATTTGAAAGTCTCTATTGTGGGGGCCCCGGGGCCTTAGCCGGTTGCCCTCCCCTAAATCCAGCCCTGACTTTACTTATATCATTATTGTCGTCTGCAAACTGAATCTTTATTATTACCCCTCCGAACCGATTTCTGTTGTATTTCCGTTTATATTACGACCTATCAATCTCTTGTCTACTGCGAATATGTCATCTTTCTTGGTTTGCCTTAAATCTCTATTTAAACTCAACAATCCTATCTTTAGCAATACTGATGTTAACTTTGACATACATTACTTTTCTTCATCTTTTCTTCAAGATTTCTATCAGAAAATAATTTGTTAATATATTAAACGTAACAAGTACTTTCCGTATCTAAACTTTCTAGTTTTCATCAGTTTCCCAACATTTCAACAGTATCCCATCACGTTACAAACTAAACTTTGTAACGTACAAGTCCATTTTCCCATACATTTATATTTCGCGTCAGAATGAGGGTTATTGTTACAATTTCATCTTGCTAACATTGCTTCAATAGTTTCGGCACTCCGCTAATGAGTTCGTCAGAATGTCTCATTTATGACCTACAAAGGTCACGGCGTATCGCACATCTTTAGTGGAGAATGCACAGCGTCTCTTCACTGGCAACGTGTGGAACTTATATTTTGAATGGCGTAAAAAGATAGACATCTTTGTTCGTAGCTTCCATTTAAAATTACTTGTCTGCACGGATGGTCGCAGTTTGTACAGTCGTCAGCCGTTTCAACTGTATATGCTTCGAAGAATTGTTTATGGTTCACATTTTACCACAGACAGCTGCTCCTTGTCTGTGTGACTTACGTTCATAAACTCGTAAACATCGTGACAATTGGATTATTTAAACAATTCAATAGCTGATGACTGCTGGCTAACAAGTCGATGAGTATACATTTACGTCTTCATACGAAAACGCGCGTGTTAATAGTAGAAAGTCCCAACGGCTACTGCGACCTCGAACTATTGTAGTCTTCCATTTGTAAACATTGCTCCCTTACAGTGGAAATTTTCATACAAAAATTTTTTGTGGACAAAGTCCCAGATCCGAAACAGTTAGATAACTGTTTCGGATCTGGGGGTTTGTCCGCGACGACACACAGATGTGTGTCACATAGATAGCTGTCCCGTGTGGGAATCGAAGCGACGACCCCCGGTGCAGTAGCCAATACCGTGGCAGTACTCGACTCTGTGTGGTGGGGCTCTGTGATAGAGTCATCACGAGATCTAATATTACGGACAATTTACGACTATCCCCCGACATTTACATTTCGCGAAATTATCTAAACTTATAAATAACGGACGCGTCGAGGGCAATCTTCACAACGAACATTCGAATATTGTGGATGTAAAATTTCTGATGGAGTTATAAACATTATTTCGACGAGTGTTAAGATAATAAAATTCTCCGTACCCCGACAACGTTTGATTTTATTATGGAGCTGTAAATAATTATTTTTTTATTGTACACAGAGAACATCAAACGGCGTGAAACGCGTAACATGCAGTTATTACTGTTTAACACGAAAATTGTAATACACCGCTAGATTCACTCTTGAAGATTTAATCGAACAAATGAGCATGAACGCTTTCGCGATTTCCGATTATTTATCGATTGTTTCTACTTTAGGTTTTAGTAAACAAGTTTCTGCTAAAGGTATGTATATTTATTGGTAAATAAGTTTGAGTATTCCTTTGCGTAAAAGTATTTTAATTGATTATTTAACTATTAATTTGCACAGATGCGTAGTGTAACCTCCCCTCATGCCCTAAGACTCAGAGATTACGCTTACCCGGGATTAAATCCATTCTTCTCAAATCTTTGACTTTGCAAAGGAGGCTTATTAATATGTCTTTAAGAATGATCGTAGTTAGTGCTAATGGATGTTTCTACGTGGTGCCGTAAGAATGTATACTTTTTAACTCCCCAAATTGTAGATTCTTAGTCATTGGATAGATAGAGTTATTACTGTTTATAGTACCATAATATATAGGCGTTCGTAGCCCTTTGTTTAGATTATGCTATTACGTGTTGAATAATATTTAACTTAAACACAGTTATCGACTGACGTGGATTACTTTTATCATAAGAGTGCTCAGTGCCTCCGATAGGAAATCGAGAGCTTATTACTACGGCAGGAGAAATAATCGGGAGTTAATATAAAAGAATAGAACGCGTTGACCGGAATAAGCACTTACTCCTAAAAACATTGCGACATACAAAATGACAACTGGTCGATAAGAACAACTAGAGATTTTTAAACCATATCTAGTTACTTTTACGTACATTTACATTTACAGGACCTTTTTAATCTAGTAGTCGTATGACATAAGCGGTTGGATGTGTTCAATTGACTTCATATTGGAAAACGTTTATATCGAAATGCAATTTTATTTCGCACTTAACAACCTTTTGATTTCTTAACAATCTTTTCTCTTTTGCCACTAATTACTATAGTCTGAAAAAACTTTCATCTACATATCAAAGATATAGAATTCTTCTTAATGATATTCTTAATAAATAAGATATTCTTCTTTATGATCTTGATGGTAATTATTAATAATTTCAACTGCATCGAGTTTTTGGTCGGGATATTTTTCTAACGCTAGACAGTTTTTAAGAATATATTTGATTCCACAGACTTAATAACAAACCATTGCCTTTAGCCCGGCCAATTAGTAACTACGCACCCCATAAAAGTCAGTAACAATTGACTGCAATCTCGTCTAGCATTTTGTCTTGCGAAAATTGCGCCATGCGTAGTTCTTCGCTGTTGCATGAATGGGCAGGTCCGTTCGGGTAAGTACCACGACCACACAGAAGACCAGCGCGAAGTGGAAATGTTATCCTTCTGCGTTTCTTCGGTGAGTGGGTTTGCCACGGCCCACTTTATTAAAAGGTGGCAACGCATCTGCAAGCGTGAAGGTGTTGCAAATGTCAGCGGGCGGCGGTTATCACTTAACATCAGGTGAACCAGCTCGCTCGCCACCTTCCCACGTTAAAAAGTACTAGGGCAGCATACATTGTAAGGACACGCGCCTCGTGCGCTTTTATACGCGAAGAAAAATCCCGACGGTCGCTGTTTTGTGTCTTGCGCTCCGCCGGTATATGTGGGTCAACACTGTCCGGACGCCGCGTCCGATGAACCACGCGAGTTTGAGGCGTTTCACAACTGCCCGTCGACTGTACCGCGGAATCGCCCACTACGGCAACTTTACAACTGCTGACGACTGTACTAACACTAACTGATTATGGTTATCGAGACTTGTTTTGCATTTGATTAAGAATTTGGTATACGGCACGATCAAGATTACTATCATGCAAGGTCTGGATTTTACTATCTTTCTTCTTTAGGTCCATTGAACATTTTAGCGATTATTAAAGAAGTTAATTTTGGTGTTGGTGTTTCTTGTGGAGATTATTTTGGTTTTTACAACGAATTTTACGAACGAAGAGAACTTAAGCGATAATACAAACGATTTTTAACTTGATTTTAAGCCAACTTTTAGCCACGAAGCGAATTTAAATAGCAGTTGTAGTTAAATGTAGTATTTTTAGTGAGAATATGGACTGAAGCTATGATGATAATTTTAGCGAAACTACTATTCGGTTGTGTCTTATTCTGATTTCGATGTCATTATAAAATTTAGCAACAAAGTAGATTATAACGACAGTGTACTTTTTTGTCAATCTTGGAAAATTTAACATTTACGCGTAAAGGTTCAAAAAGAAATTTATATCCGGCACGTTCGTCAGACGACGTAACTGATATAAACATTACTTGGCATTACATTGTTCGGAAGAACGCGACGAAGTCTTCGCCATTTGGGCGCCCGAGTTAATTGCAACGTGATAAATTTCGATACAATCCATTTGCGATCGGATACGAATCCACGACCAGCTGTCTTCACGAGGAGAACTTTAATTTATTTACTAAACACTCGTGTAGGCCGATTCGGGGCGTATTAACTCGCAAAAAACAATGGTAATACTAGAAAAATTCTCGGTTATTATTGCATTGTGTAACATTCATCATTCTTACGCAGCGCTACCTCTCGAAGCGGGCTCGAACGGAGTAACGAAATTTCGCCTTCGAATTCGCGTTGCATCAACAATCACCTAATTGCCGATTTGCCGCACTTACCGTGCCCTTATTAATTACTTTAACAGGCGTCGAACAGTTTTGATTACGCCTCACGTGCGCCGTTGCGAATTGCACGCGCCCAATGAACACGAAAACGTTACAAAATACTATATCCGGTCTAAATGCGAACACCGCTCGCCTCTAGGACGCAACGCATTCCGTAATCTAGATTTCGCGTGGTTTCTTCGAGTTCATTGCGAGTTCTTTGCGAGTTCTTTGCCAGTCGGCGTTCCGACGCATTCGGCCTGTGACCGCCGCGTGCTAATTCGACGCGCGCTTTTTATTCCCTCATTAACCTTCGCCACGCTCCGGTTTCGAATTCGGCGTTTTATTTTTGAACGGCGGTTACGCGCGGTGATTAGCCGCTGGGGCGTCCGTCTCGATCGACTCTCGTGGTGGTCGACGGTGCCCGTGATGCCCGTGGTGCGCTGCGGTGCCACGGGACCGACCTTCGCCCCGCCCAGCACATCCAGCCCGAAAAACGAAAGTGTAAAGTGGTCGAATATTTTGGCGGGATTTCTCACTGTGGCGCGCGTCTGCTCTCCAACTATTGTTTAGTTTGTCGTTTGTCGCCTCCCACCTGACGTCCACTGATGATCCAGCACGACGAACCGCCTCCGTTCACATTTTCCCACCGAACGCGGTTCAGCTCCGTCGATGATTAGCAATCGATTTGTTAAAATTCGCAAAAAGAAAAGAATATGAACACGTTTCGTTTTTTTTTTTTTTTTTTAATTATTCAATTATTTAATAACACGTCGCGACTCCTGTGCCCCGCGAGCGCCGCGGCGAGCGCGCGCTTCAAATTCGAAATTCGAATTTCGAAAAGCGAACCGGCGCGGAGATCGCGTTCCTTTTTTGAGCGTGTCACTTTTGGCGGGAGTCGCGTGATGGCGCGAGCGGCGCGCGGGAGCGATCGCGTCGACTGGCCGGCCGCGCTGAAAAGCTTCTCGCGTTAAACGCGGGACCGATGTGCATTCTATTTATAAAGTTAAGTTGGTGCCGCGGCACGCGTCCACGCGCCCTGCCTACGTTAACATCATAATATTTGAAGTTACCGGATCGGCCGACGAAACCTATTCCTGTGTTTATGCTGCCCGCTGCATGGATAATTAAAATTGATGTGGATCCCTCGTCGCCAGTTAGCGCGCGTTTGAGCCCGCAAGCCGAGCGGGAGGCCGGCCGCTAGCGACTTACGCTGGAAGGGCTCCAAGAGCAACAGAGACACCGTTTACGATTATCTAATGAATCGACTTTGATATTAGAACAAGGCGATACCGATTTTATTTATTGCAACAACACCGTTCCGCCGATATCATAATCCCGAGCCGAGGCGATAAACGTCGATTCGGACATATTTACGCTGCCGCAATGATATATGCTCAATAAAATTTGATGGTTTTTAGACTTTGTTTATTATAACTGGTACTTAGTGAGCGCCGATTTAAATCAATGTCATGCTCTGTCAAAACACGCCATTGAATATCAACAAATGGCTAAAATGACACGGTATTAACGTGCCGAAACAGATAATAAATAATCACAGTGTGAGTAAAAAGATTAGGCTGATGACAAATATGGCCACAAATTATAATAAATATAGATAGAATGTATAAAAAATTTTTTTATTGGGCTTATTATGGACCTGAACGTTCCAGTGTTACCACTATTCTACATATAGTTAGTTTGTTGCCATTTATTTTTGAGATAGCAAAATCTAGCGGACGGCTATTTAATTTCGCGCTGAGTTCATTATTTAGAGACCTGCATTATTCATCTGAATTATTAAAATATTAAAATAACCAAAATCAAAAAATATTTTTATTAGCATATTTATACATTTAATTTCAGTAAACAAAATATGTTTAAGAGTGTTCAAAATTTTTGTCCGTTTATTTATCCGGGCTGAGCTATATTTATGAGTGTTTCATTAAATATAATAGATTCTCATCAGAATCACCTGATGTTAAGTGATTACCGCTACCACCTACCGCAACGCATTACAACACCTATTGCAACACATTAGTTGTCTATGGTTGTTTCCTATTGCACCTATTGCAACACATTAGTTGTTTATGTATCTTTCTAAAGACTGTTTACTGCTGAATGTTAAATCAGAACTTAAATATACAGCCACACGATTGAGACACTGCGAGTCCTTATTGAGATTTGAAATTTAGTATAAAAAAGCAAATTTCAAACGCGAGTGCCCGAAGACTTATTAATATTTATTCCACGGAAATGTCATATATATATTTTTAATATTTTACAAATTGTATTTATAGTTTAATTTTTTTTTAAACATTGCCCTCACTTTAGGATAAACGTTATCCTGTGTTGTGAGGACGTTTTTTTACAAACATAAATTTCACGTGGACAAACATCCAGATGCGAAACAACTATCTGTGGGTCGCACAAATACTTGTCCCGTGTGGGAATCGAACCCACGACCCCCGACGCCGAAGTCAATACCTTGGCAACTGCGCCACGGAGTCATTTACAATTAGTTTTTAACATAAGTTTTTTAATATTGACAATATTAAAAACTTACTAAATTACACGTTACCTAACTGGCCTTGCCCACGCGATATGGTGGTAAAAAGCCTAGCTACATTTTCTTTAAGCAAAGCTTAACCTTTAAGCTACCGGTGCCCTCATCTTCCGGAGTTTCTTTCGCTTGTGTCTTCTCAGAGTTTAGAGGAATCTCATTATGAAATGGTGGCAGATTTAAAAAAAAAAAAGACTATCGACAGATGAAATGCATGTTTCGTCGATGAATATTATTTTTATTTTTTTTTATTTTGATCACCATCCAAGTACATAATTACTCTTTAATTATTCGATATTGGCTTAAATATTTATAATTAATTATGATTATTGCAACTACCATAATAAATCTCCTGCCCTCGTGGTGATTGGGAGATAACGCCTAAAAGAATTTACGCCCTAAGTAAACTCTAATCAATTTATAAGCAATAAAGAATGGAGTGACGACCTGTGCAAATGTGCGGGAAGTCGATGGATGCAGGTGGCTCAGGATCGTACTTCATGGCAGTCTATGGGGGAGGCCTATGTTCAGCAGTGGACTCGGAGCATAGGTATGTACATTGTGACGTTCTCTGAGTATAATTAAGGGAACAAAATTTTAAAAACATTATTTATCAGTAAATTAAAAAAACCGCCCGAGTGCGTGTTACGTACCATTATCTATAAAAACGGCAAAAACATCATATTTGTTTCATGGGAATCCCCCCTTAAATATTTTTTATTCTGTTTTTTTAGCATTTGTTGTTATAGCGGCAACCGAAATACATCTGTGAAATTTCATTTGTCTAACTATCATGGTACATGAGATACAGCCTGGTGACAGACGGACAGACATAGAGACATACTGACAGACAAACAACGGAGTCTTAGTAATAGGTTTTACCCTGTGGGTACGGAACCCTAAAGAAAACTGTCCACGTCGTTCAAATTTTGTTTGATTCACTTCAGTGAAAGAAATTGGTAGATTTATAAAATATGAAGCGAGATTTAAAAAAAAAAACTTAACCTATTATAAGGTGAACATCTCGCTTGACATCTTTTCACGTAAAAAATCTCATCCGTGATGTTATATGGTGAAATATACTTCCTGGATCAGTTAGGACCATTCAGATCAGCATGTATAAAATGAAATAATATACACTGGATTAATGATGTTCGCACTGTCAACTAGTCCGCTCTTTGTCAAAACAAAAATCGTTGCTTGATGTAGAATATTCCAGACGCAACCCATTATCCAATAAAAATAACTTAACGGATATTATCACGTTTAATTCAACTTAAACTTTCCAACGCGTTGAATACTTCAGCGCATATTAAGACGCGGGTAGCATTAAAAAATGTGTGCGCTAAATCAGAACAAATCCTCTCGGATATCGCCGCCCTTGCTCCGACGTCATTTGGGCACGCGTCCTCTCTCCAGATCCAGGAATAGCGGCGTGCGGCTCCATCATATGTCATATTGACACGCCGTGTTGGACCGACCCACATAAGCAGGTGCGTGCAGGAAACTGCCGCGCACCTAGCTTGTAAAACTGCTGCACTTGGCACGTCGCAAGCGTCGAGCTGAGGCGGGGGCGTTTTTGAATTACGAAAACGCTCATGGTGGTCCGCGTAGAGCGATAGCTCAGTGCCCGGACGCTCACGTTTTATTAATTATACTGGAGCAATCTGATTTCAAATCCTTGTGCTAGCTAGCTTGTGGTAGCACGTGATAAGACAGCACTTGTAATTGTTAATTTCAAGTGCTGTCTTATCACGTGCTCAGTGGTGAAGGAAAAAAGTCTCGAGGAAACCTGCATATTTTGGAAAAAAATATTTTGAAACTATTTGATGTCCGCCGATCCGCAGTAGGGTGGGATGGTGGACTATGCTCTAATACACCCTGTACAGAGGAGGCCTTTGCCCAGCAGTGGGACATGTGGTGGACTGATACATAACGTCTTAAGTGTCTTAAGCGAAAATATTAAATATCCCAAAGCTGTTTCCAGTGGGCGTAAAAAGGTTAAATATTAGATACATACAATATCCGGAATAATCAATATAAGGTCCGATATTTGTTTGCTTAGAAAGAAATGTTTGATTTCATATTGTGCAGACCAAGGCATTTATTTATTCGTTTAAAATTTGGCATGCGTTTTCAATATATTATTTAGTAGAATAAGATCTCGTGTAATTCGGGTTTAGTGCCATCTTCACTTAACTTGTCCAGTACACAAGGCGCGTCAGTGGTTTTTGTACGTAGGAAAAATGGAAAATAGAAAATTCATTAGCGCCGGCCCCCGCAACGCCACCTCTCATATATTTTCTGTTAAAAGCGATCCGCACAACTCTTATAACTTGCACCGTGGGCCGACCAGCCGGTCACCATGTGCGCGCAGATAATAAATTAAAAACAAGAACCACAGTCGCCAGTTAAATGCAACATTAACATAGTTTACATACGAAAGGTTCCGTCTGACAAATGCCCGTGGAATGTTTCCGAGCGCCGAAACACGCTGAACAGTGCGTACCCTGGGCTGAAACTAGATAATGTTAAATCTTCCCACTATATAAGTACTTCATAACCCATTTACTACACGCTCTCTCCGCTGCCGACGGTTAAAATATTACTTTTTAACGTTAGGAAACTATATATTAATTTAGCCTTTTTATATCAAAAAATATTCTATTTTTTACATAAAAATGTATAAACCATGCATAAACACTTTAAACAATGGTTCTCAAACGAAATACGGCAGAGAATTACAATTTAAATAAACTAGTGGACGCTGAGTGGTCGAAATTTGACATTTAATTTATATTATTAGTTTGAACCATATTAATCAATCCTCAAATATGATACGCAATAAACAAAAGGGGATATATGCGTTTGTGTTAAATACATGTGTGTGTAATGTTTTCTATATTGATTTAACGTATTTTTATGCACAATTAAAAAAATATTGGCATTCTGCACTCCATCCCTATATAAACTATAAGTGTGTGAAATTTCATACTCCTCCGTCCGCGCAGTTTTCGTAAAAATGGGTACAAAGTTTTTACTTCACGTAGTAACGGCAGGTTTCAATATTCTATCTACAGGCAGATTTCGTTACCAGCGTCAAAATTCTACCTGCAGTAACCAAATCTATCTGCAGATTTAATATTAACCGGAACCGGCCGTAAGGCGCACCCGGCACGGCGTGGCCCATTAATTGATAGAGATTATCCAACATATAGAAGTAAGTCTAAGTGAGATGACAAAAATCTCCCCTGTCTGCGTAGACCCTTTATACCGTCAGACATGTTACAGTGCTGTCTTTCCCACTTAATAGAGTATCGTTAATGCGCAAGGAAATCGAGGAGTGGCGGATATTGTGTAAAAAGATCTAATTTTGGCCGTACAACAATTGTGGCTGCAACGGCTGGTCGGGCGGGCGATAAACAACGATTTAGGATTTGGCTCCAGCGCCGCTGGGGTGGCACCGAATTAATACAAGCACGATAGCTTATAACGCAACATTAGCAGCTATCGTAATTCGGTTTCGCGATTCGACGCTAGATTTATCGTTTCTCTAGTTATAAATGTTATAAACAAGCTATTGCCATTGTAAAATTGTTGTTAATAATAAAATTAGATTAATTTATACTAATTTTATATATTTTGTCTAATATATAAAATTAGATAGGCCCTACGGTGGTAGGGCCACGCAGCAGCATCGGTTGTTGCACGAATGGGCAGGCGTGTCCGGGTAAGTACCACGACCTCACAGAAGACCAGCGTAAATGGAAGTATAACAAATACTTTCGCGTTTCGTCTGGTGAGGTAGCCAGAGCCCAATTTTGAAAAGGTTTTCAAAGCATCTGTAAACCTCGGGTGTAGCAGATGTCCATGGGTGGCGGTATTCACTTAACATCAGGTGACCCGTCTTTTCGTTTGGCAACTTTTCGCATAAAAAAAAAAAATAAAGTTCTCGTGTCACGGTGTTTGTAATTAAACTCCTCCGAAACGATTCGACCGAGTTTCGTGAAATTTTGTGAGCATATCGGCCAGGGTGGAGAATCGGACAACATGTATTTTTCATCCCCTTAAAAGTTAAGGGTGGTCCACACCTAATTTTTTTTATTTTTTATATAAAATTTTTGTTTTTTATTTTTTTATGATACAGCATACAAAAATAAATACAACCCTAATTTTTCACTCCTCTACGCAAACGTAGTCGCGAGCAGCCGCTAGTTTTCTCATAATAGTTTATAAATAGAAATTTATTTTAATTAGGGTATATGTTCATATTAAGAACGCTGTGTCCACCTGTAATTGTTTGATAATTTACGAGGTTTTTCTTTTAACGATTTTTTTAAACAATTCGCTTGCTATAAATCGGGGATCGAACACGGGATCGACTAAAAATTGTCTTGTTTTTTTGCATTTGAATTATGATATAAATATAAGTCTAGACGTAGTACTAGGAGTAGAGTTAATGAGTAAGAAAATAAATCTGTCTGCATGTTAACGTTAATAAGATTGGTGATGGAGAATATTTGCCATCTGGTATATCGTTGAGCCAGTAGGTACCACGTATAAGAGCTGAAGTCTTAGAGCTGGGCTAGAACTGAATCATATTTTAAACGACATTGAAAGTTGGCCTTTGGGGACAGAGACTTGGCAAGGTTCTGTCTCATTTATTAAAAAAAAAAGACCTCTACGCGGTCCAAGTGCGGTCCAAGTACAACTCTGTACCTCCGAGATAAAAAATAAAATTTACAGGTGAGTCAAAAATGCGTTAAAGAATCCTTGAATGCATTATGATGTCATATACGATTGGATATATTGTTAAGTAGCCGTCATAGGTCTTAATGCTTTATACTATTGTGAAAAAATTTTTCTTGCGATTTTAACGGTGTAAGAAAAATAATTTTGAAAAATGTGGGGTTACAGTTAGATGCCTCTGAGGTACAGAATTATTCTTTTGTCAAAAAAGGCAGGAATCTGTATTTAAGACCACAGTTAATAATTTCTCACCCAGATTTGAACCCTGGATGGTCGACACCGATGCAAAGCTCAGACACTTAACTAACATGATATGCGCACAGTAGTGTGATATCAACCCCCAGTTCAGTTTTTCATAACAGCGTGGAGGCCTCGAGGCAAGTTAAATTAAAAACTGAACTAAGCTATGTCCACATGCTTCTAGTTGGTACAATGAGCAATGGCAGAGCTGCTATATATTAAACCGTTATCTATTTGAATACTTGTTCATATTGCATTAACGACGTTTAAAGGTCGAGCGAAAGGTAATCGTTCAATCTATCTGATCACTACACAATATAAAACAAAGTCCTCCCGTTGTCTGTCTGTCCCTTTGTATGCTTGGATCTTTAAAACTGCGCAATTGATCTTGATGCGGCTTTTTTCACTAGATAGAGTGATTCAGGAGAAAGGTTTATTAAATGATTATGTATAATATATGCATGATATAATAGAGAAACATAGTAGAGTATATTTTGTATCAGCATTGCTCCTGTGCGAAGCCGGGTTGCTAGTATATTAATATATGGAAAGCCGGTTTTTTATTCTGTCATAGTACGAAAACTATTGAACCGATCGTAATAATACTTATACTACTATAAGATACAGCGTGTTTCGGAGGATTCTCTCCCTACATAGTATAAGAAAAGTCGTCACGCTGTCCGTCTGTTCCTATGTATGCTTAGATCTTTAAAAGTACGCAACGGATCTTGATGTTGTTTTTTTTTTGTTTACTAGATAGAATGATTTAAGAGGAAGGTTCATATGTATAATAAATTGCCCCTGTGTGAAGCCGGGGCAAGTCGCTAGTATACCATAAGGTGCAGCGTGTTTCGAAGGATTTAGTATATGATATCATGGTGATCACTTATCTGTAATCTATGTACTTTTAAAATTAAATAAGATGGTATAACCCAGCGAAACGGGCAGGGGATAGCAAGTTTATTTATTTATTTTATAATTAACATACACGGTTTATATAAAAAGAAATGTAATAACATCAAAAGATTTGTACAAAAACCCTAGTTTATTTATGTGTCGACGGCAATTTGTTGGAAGCACAATACTGTTAGATGAAATAGAGTTTTTAAAGTAATCTGTACTTGTTCATATTGTTCGTGTCAGGTACTCTGTCACGTGACCATGAACGCTGGAAAGAGACGTGGGGAATCGAAAATCAAAATTAAAACGCCATAAAATCCCTAACATAGTTTCATTTAATATTCGCGTAAAAACAAGAATTCAATATGACCTTGTTCAGGTTTAAACTTGTTATTTATTCTTATCCCTATTAATGTTATCAACGCGAAAGTTTGTATGTATGGATGTTTGTTACTTTTTCACGCAAAACTACCGAATCGATTTTAATGAAACTTTACAATAATATAGCTTATACACCAGAATAACACATAGACTATAATTTATAAAGATACAAGGATCTCTCAAAGTGACTCTGTCTGTCTGTTACGCCTTCACGACTAAACGGCAAAACCAATTTTAATTTTTGTTATGAAGATAGATAGAACCTTGGAGAATAAAATAAGCAACTCGAAGT